TTCTCTGTGTCTCTTGGTTTGTTAAGCTATTTTTGTTAAATAGTAATTAACAAATTCATTTTAAAAAATAGCCAAATCTCCCCTTATAAAGGCATCTCGCATGTCCAAGTTCAAGGTATGCATTAGAAAACGCGCTCTATCTCAAAAACTAGAAGAACTATCAAAAAGTTGTGAACAACAAAAATGTAGAGCATAAAATTTTACACATTTTACTAGTTAAAATTTTTTTAACAGCTAAATTTGTTAAAGAGTTATGCGCCTTTAAAGTCGTCCCACTGTATCCCGGGTGGGAGGAGAGAGAGAAAGGCGTGGCGACTCCTCGATTGCTCGCTAGCTTTCAAGCGTTGTATCTCTGAAACCAAGCTAGCTATCAAAAAAGTTGTCAACTAACAAAATGTGTAGAATTTTATGGGCTACATTTTTGTTTTTCACAATTTTTAGATACCTTTTTCAGTTTTTGAGTTAAGCGCCTTTAAAGTAAAAAAGCCCAAAAAGAGACGCAGACAAGCTAGAAAATCTATTTTCTCTGGTTCTCTTGGTTTGTAAAGCTATTTATATTTGTTAAATTAATAATTAACGAATTTATTTAAAAAAATAGTCAAATCTCCCCTCATAAAGGCATCTACGCCCTCCTAGAAAGTTGCAATTCTTCAAATTCTAGGTAAGCATTCTCAAAAACCAGAACATCTATCAAAAAACTGTCAACTGCAAAAATGTAGAGCATAAAATTTTACACATTTTACTAGTTAAAATTTTTTTAACAGCTAAATTTGTTAAAGAGTTATGCGCCTTTAAAGTTGTCGCACTAAACTGTGGGCGAGGGAGAGACGCAGAGAAAGGCGCGGCGACTCTTTGCCAGGCTCGCTAGCTTTCAAGCGTTGTATCTCTGAAACCACGTTAGCTATCAAAAAGTTGTCAACTAACAAAATGTGTAGAATTTTATGGGCTACATTTTTGTAGTTTTCCAAAGTCTGATAGCTTTTCTAGTTTTTGAGATACAGCGCGTTTTTCAAAGTAAGCTGAAAAAATGACGAAAAGAAGGTATACATATTTTGATCACTAATTTCTTTTCACACCCTCTTCGAATTCCGAAATTCTGCTTCCAGGTGAAAAGGAAATTTAATTTATTTTTATAAATATGACAATTTACGTCAATAGGCATTAATTCAGAAATAAATTTCAGACACTTTTTTTTGGGCAGATGACGTTCGTCAATTCTGAATTCTGAAATTCAGAAGACGTCACTTCATTTTTTTCGGGGATAATTAGACGTCTCCCAGAGGTGTCTGGTGTCTGAAAATGGAACGGAGATGGACGCATTTGGAAAGTTCTAGAATTAGGTTTTCTAGAATTTTTAGATTTCCCGGTTCAAAAAACGATTTTTGAGCAAGTTATAGCTATTCAAAGTTTATGGCCTAGAAATCCAAACTTTCGAAAAAGTTAGGCCATGGAATTTATATATTTTTGAAAAGCTGTTGTTTTGAGAAATCCATACTAGTTTTCAGAGTCCAAAAATCATTATTTTGAAGCGAGTTGCAGCCATTTGAACCTGTATGGCCTAGTTTTGGGTTTCTAGGCCACCAACCTTCAAATGGCTCTAACTCGCTTCAAAATAGAGATTTCTGAGTTCTGAAAAGTGATAAGGATTTCTCAAAAGCTTTCTAGAAAGTAAAATTTTTTTATCTGAAAAATGGAAGTTTCCTCCAAAAAACCCAAAATTTTCAGACCAAAAACCCAAAAAAAAAAATCGACAAAAAAATTAATTAATTTTTTTCGCTTTTTCTAGGAAACCAGCAAAAATATAGTATTCTCAAGAGAATTGTCTATTAAAAAAAAGAGAAATTTGAACTTTAAAAGACTGCTAAAACTGCAGAAAAGGCAGTTAAAATTACCCAAATTTCGCATTTTTTTTCAGCAAAAAAATAGAAAAAGTCCAAAAAAATTTATTTTTCTGGGATTCTAAATGTCAAGCCAAATTAGCTAACTGAGCCAATTTTCGGCCCATTTTTTTTGGGGAATTTTTTGGGGATTTTTTTTTTGAAAATTATTTTTCGAAAATAGTCATTTTTATGACAAAAAGAGGATTGGATGAAAACCGGAGAGTGAGCAATAAGAAATAGTCAAAAGAATAGCCAATTCTAGGGGGAAAATTACAAAAAAAATGAGCCAATTTTTGTTGTTTTGTACACAAAAATATCTAGAAAAAAAATAGCTGAAAAAGGGACCTTTGGCGGGAAATTTGAATTCAAAAATTACAAAATTTCTTTAAAAATCAGGAGGAAATCGGCGAAAAAAATAATGGATTTCTACACAAAGAAACTGACAAAAAAAAGCAATTTTTGAAAAAAAATTTTATGAAAAATTCAAAAATTTCAAAAATCAATTAGGATTGAGAATCGAGCTATCCACACTGCCTCCATCATCATCATCATCATCATCCACGTCATCATCATCTTCTTCTTCGTCGTTCTGTGTATCATCATCGTCGTCGTCGTCGTCATTTTCAGATTCCTCGTCTCCAGAAGTCTCTTCGCCGTCCGTCGTCGTGCCACCACGACGCCGGAGCGCCGCAGCCTCTTCTTCGTCTTCCGAATGGGAAATGGCTCTGAAATATAGGTTTTTGTAGCTTGTAGCCTTTGTATTAGGTTGGCGGGAAAGTCTTTGTCACTCTGTTTGTTTAATCACTGTTCTCGTATATGGAGGCTGTGTATGATATCGACTCTAGTGAATAACAAGGTGATAAGAACCTTCCATATAAACAAGTCCCCATTTCCTTCCCTGCTCCTCATCTGTAATTGAAACGATATGTTTGTTCCCACTGCTATTCACATCAGACATGTTTTGATTTACCTCTTCCTATCTCACACCACGATGAAGGATTCGGAAACTTTCTTGAAGAATGTGTACAACACACATGCCCCTCACTACAATACTATTCGCAATTGGTTCCATCGTTTCGAAAAAGATGACTTCTCGCTCGATGAAAAGGATCGCTCTGGGAGACCCCGTGAGTTGGATTTGGACAAGCTGAAGCACGCATTGCAATCGGATCCATTTCAATCTAGCCGTGAACTAGCTGTCACATTCGGAGTTCACCATAGCACAGTCCTTGAAGGTTTGAAGTCTCTTGGAATGAGAAAACTTTTTGGTCGATTCATACGTCATCACCTGACTCAAGCCAACCTTGACCGCCGAGTCGACGATTCGATTACTCTTCTCACTCTCCACGCGGGCGATCGATGGCTGGACCGGCTAATAACCGGAGATGAGAAGTGGGTCTTCTACGATAATCACCACAGGAAATCCCAGTGGGTTGGAGAAGGAGAGAGCCCACAGGATGTCCCCAAACCCGGCCTTCA